GGGAGAGGGGCTGAGGGAGAGGGGGAGAGAATCTCAAGGAGACGCTCTGCTGAGGGCAGAGCTAGTTGTGGGCCTCCATCTGATGACCCTGAGATCACGCCCTGAGCTGAAACCAAGAATTGGACAGTCAACAGACTGAGCAACTGGTGCTTCTGGGAAGAAGTTTTTAGATGGTCTTGTCCAGAGCTTTAGAAGTTTCACAGGGGCAATATATTGTAGGAAAACACAGTGAGGGTGTAGTGGGGAGCAGAAAGAGGGGCAGGCACCCTGAGCCCTTCAGTCCTCTGATCCAAGGTGGCTGCCTCAGCTATAACAAAGACCAATCTTGACCCAATCTGATCCAGTTTCCAATTCTAGGGAGGAGGAGTCAGACTGGCTCACCTGGGGTAGCTGTTCATGTTCATGTAGTCACCTGTAGTCTGGGTCTGGGGTCATGAAGTATAAACACGGTATTAAGGCCTCAACTCTGCTGGCATGACGGATAGTTCTGAGCGTCATGGTCTGGGTGGATAACTCAAAAGTGGTTACCATACTGCGGGACCCTTTGTTAAAATAAGATCTTACCTAAGAGCTAAACACATAGGATGGATAAAGACAGGGTTGTTCTTGTAAAGGGTATGGGGACCAAAGTCCTACCAAACTGGCACCCCTCCCCTGGGACATGGGAGTGTAGTTTTGAAAACCATGGATCTATTTCTCCCCCCTCATTTTTACAGAAAAATGAGGCTAGGGAGTGGGGTCACCTCCCCAGAGGTACACAGCAACTGAGTGTCAAGGCTGGGACTGGCCCCAGGGCCTTGGCTCCTACTGGAATGTCTGCTCATCTCCTCGCTCTGTCTCCTCATGCCCAGCTACACAAACACACCACTGCCAGGAAAAGCCTTTTGTTTCTTTTAAATTCCTCTTTTTAGGGGTACCTGGGGGAACGCCTGGGTGGATCAGTGGTTGAGCATCTACCTTTGCCTCAGGTCGTAATTGAGTTCTGCATGGGGTCCCCACAGGGAGCCTGCTTCTCCCTCTGCCTGTCTCTGCCTCTGTCTCTGTGTGTCTATGAATAAATAAATAAAATATTTAAAAGAAAAATCCTCTTTTTAGAAAGAAAACCACTTTTGTATTTCTACGGTGAGTTGATTTTAACTTGCAGAGTTAAAAAAAAAAATGAATACAAGTAAGAGAATGGAATGCCAGAAGAAGACTTGTGTCCCCGCTGGAAGTGTGGCTTGAGGGGTGCTGGCAGGGCCTCCTCTTGTGTGCTCACTGGACCAAGCCTTGCCCAGCACCTCGATTCAGTCCTCGTCTCTCCCTTGGACACGCACAAGGGTCTGCTGGCACAGATAGGCTTGCTCTGGTCCCTGACCATGTCTTAGGTTGAAAATGTGCTTTGGTGGCTCCCATAGGATAGTGACTTTGGTTTCAACGCCTCCCAGTGATGCCTCCACGTGTGGGCATGAGTCTTGATGAAGCACTTTGCAGGAACGTGCTAAACTGGATGACCCATTTCCACTGGGGTTGTTACACGTAGCCTTGGGGGGATACCCTCCTCATCTCCTGGCCGGCCGTTCCAGGGAAGGGCGCTTGGCTGGCTGCTGGCAGGTAGCAAAGCCCCATGGCTCCTCCGTGCACCGGGTCACAAGGGCTGTCTGGAGGCTCCGGCCTGCGTCTACATGCAGGGCCACTTGATGGCACTGTTAGAATTGTGGAACGGAGGCTGCTTGCCTCAAAACAGTACCCCCCCACCCCATTCTAATCCTCTCCAAACTCATTTCCACCCACCTTCTCCCAAACAGAGGCAGAAAAATTTCCTAGCCTGTTCCTGCTGGCGTGTCCCCCACCCTCTGCAACCCATTCCTGGCTGGATGTGAAGATGTAGTGGCCCCTCTGGCCTCTCCCTCCCTGCTGTGCTCCCATCTTCCCATCCTGCTCTCTAAATCTCTACCATTCTGCATGTCCCAGGGGGACCTCCAGGGTTCCAGGCAATCTGCCGGAGGAGAAAGGGCCATGAAAAGCTTCTAAGAACCTGGGGATCTAAGAGAGAGAAAGCAGAAGTGTGTGGAATCCTGCTGGCCACGGGACTTGTTTTCTAGAAGGAAGAAGCAGTTGGCCGTGGGGGGAGAGCACAGGCTGCGTGGTGAGGGGTCACTGGGAGAAGGTGCTGGGAGGAATGGGAGGAATGTGCAGACAGTGGGGGGCAGGAAATGGGCTCTCTCAGCCGGAATCTTGGCATTAGGTTGCACGGATTAAAGGCTTTCTGTTCTTGGCTTCCCAGCTGCCACTGTGTCAAAGTCCCCCTGGACCCACTGACCCACGGGGTCAAGGGTAGGCGGGGGCATGGTGCTGGGGGACCCTTGACTTCATCCCTTGTCTTGGCCTCTGGTTCCCTGTTCTTGCTGCCACTTCCTCTTTCTCGGAGCTGTTGGGGGGAGGGACCACGAGCTGGGGAAGGCGGGACAGCACCACTGCCCCACCCTGGCACCCCAGACCTCAGGTCTCCCCACCACAGAGCACCCACCACTGCCCAGCCCGCCCCAGGCTCCTGTCCCCAAGGACAGGAAGGAGAAAGCGCCATGGCCAGGGAGGAATTCATTGTAAGGAAAGCATCTTCCCCTAAACAATTACCAGGAAATACTGTCTTGACTGATTCTCGGACATGCGCTGCCCTCTTGGCAGAGTTATCTGGAGGCTTGTTAAACCACGTAAAAGCTGATGAGACAGTCCCCAAACTCAGAGTGGCCCACACAGCGTAGGCCGCAGAGGCCTCCCGGTTCCCCCTTGGTGGGTGCCGGGAGTGCCCCCTATGTCGCTCCTGCCCCCCAGCCAGCCAGCGCCCTCTCTGAGCGGGGACCCAGGCCACGGGAGGGCAGGTGCGCGCCTTCAACCCCATGAGTAATACTCGGCTTTTCATCTTCAAAGGGCCTTCCCAAGATTAACCAATTAGTCACCCTTAGGAAAGTTACAAAGCAGGCTGTTATTGTCTGCATTAAGCCTGAGGTGGGGGAGGGAGGTGAGTGGAGTCCCCACCCCAGGCCAGTGAGAGTCTGGGTTTGGGTGCAGGTGAGCAGTCACTCAGAATGTCCCAGGGTGTCCGAGGGTGTGCAGTGATGAATCAAGAATGTGCTAGAGCAGAGGTTGGAGCTTCTCAGTGGGCGGAAGCTGGGGGGAGGCCACGGAGGGGTGAAGGGAAGGATTGGAGGATCTTTTTTTCTTTTTCTTTTTCTTTTTAAAGATTTTATTTATTTATTCATGAGAGACCCAGAGGCAGAGAGAGAGAGGCAGAGACACAGGCAGAGGGAGAAGCAGGCTCCATGCAGGGAGCCTGATGTGGGACTCGATCCCAGGTCTCCAGGATAACGCCCTGGGCTGAAGGCAGGTGTTAAACCAATGAGCCACTCAGGGATCGATCCCCTTCTTTTTCTTTTTTTAAGATTTTATTTATTTATTCATGAGAGACACAGAGAGAGGCAGAGACACTGGCAGAGGAAGAAGCAGGCTCCCTGTGAGGAGCCTGATGTGGGACTTGATCCCAGGACCCCGGGGTCATGCCCTGAGCCAAAGGCAGATCCTCAACCACTGAGCCACCCAGGTGCCCCAGGATTGGACGCTCTGGGGACAGGGGAAGGGTATTTTGCTGAACCCAGGGTAAGTAGATGCAAAGGCAGGTTGACACAAGCCTACCCAGGGAGGGCTTCACCATATGTTCTAAACTTTCAGAAACTGGTGCTGATGAGGCCCCTCTGAGCCATCCAGATATTTGTGAAATGAGTTTTGGGACACTTTCCTTTTTGTATCTGTATGAGGATTTTGAAATGACTAAAAATGATCAAACATGTGTCACTAAAGCACCTTGCAGATCAGAAGTGTGTGAAAGCTCAGAAGGGCCAGAGGTAAGCATTTGTCCAGATCACTTGGAGCCGCGGGCTTGTCCTGTTTCAGACACATGATGCAGATTTGAGAGTTTGAGGAGGTAAGACTGTGTCCTGGTGGCAGAGGGAGAACCGAGGCACCTTCTGGAAGCCAGACAGCAGAGCAATCCTTCCAGTCAACCCTGTCTGCAGCTGCTTTTTATAAACTTGGCATAAATATGTGCTTGGGAACGCCAGGACAGTGTATCTGGAAAATATTTGCTACCCTTCGAAAACACACACACACACACACACACACACACACACACACACACACACTTGGAAAGGAAAAAAAAAGCATAACAGAAATTGTGCATAATATAGAGTGGCTTCACTTGTGGTTTTTTTCCATTACTTCCTCAGTTCATTTTTCTGCTGCCAATTTTAGAAGGCCATAAGTCATAGTTGTTAAACTTTGTCAGTTAAAATGTAACTCTAAGAACAAGTCATATGATATGTTGTAGCCAAATGGCCTTTTGGAGGGAAGTTGTCGTGGGAGGCACAGTTCCCCAGTGAGTCCCGGTGTCCCCAGGTCTTCTCTGGTGTGTGTTACACGCATGGTGCCACAGGCAATCCTGGTCCCCCTTGACCCAGAGCTGTCATGTATGCCACAGCTCCAAAGGGCCATCTATCAGAAGGCAGTAGACGTGACGAGTCCAATTTCCAGCATTTACTCTGTGTGACCCGGGAACAGAATGTGGTCTCATTAAGGGTGATTGGTGACAAATCCCTCACTTTGCTGTCCTAGAAATGGTGAGATCCACTTTCTCATAAACCTTGACCTGGTGGAATCAGAAAGGAAGAAGCTGAAAGGGAGGAATTGGCCCTTTGAGGCTGGGAGCACCCGGCCTCTTTACATCTACCCAGAGGAGCAGCAGACCCAGGGGTGTCAGGCCTGGCCTGTGCCTCTGGGCTTTGGGGATTCTGGGGGTGGAGTGGGGTGGAAGGGAGCTGTGCTGTTTGGTTCACCACCCGGCATCACGCTGGACTGGCAGCCTTCTGAGGGCAGGGCCCTGGGTTTGTGCAGCAGTCCTGGTGTTGAAGGCAAGGCCAGGAACACAGTGAGCATTTATACATGCTTGTGTTTAAGATTTTTTCTTTCTTTCCTTTTTTTTTTAAAAGATTTTATTTATTTATTCATGAGAGACACACACACACACACAGAGGCAGAGACATAGGCAGATGGAGAAGCAGGCTCCCTGCAGGGAGGCTGATGTGGGACTCGATCCCAGGACTCAGGGATCACAACCTGAGCCAAAGGCAGATGCTCAACCACCAAGCCACCCAGGTGCCCTCACATGCTCGTGTTTAAAACCAAGATCAAAGGCAGACACCAGCAAGCCCATCAGAGCAGAATCAGCCCGCAGTGTGGCAAGGCAGGTGGGAGCGGGGGGCTCGTGGGGGGGGGGTTCTCTTTCCAGTCCCATCTCCCCTGTGTGCTTCTGTCTGCTTTACTTTCCTCGTTCCGACTGTCCATGGAAGCCGCCTTGGGTCTCAGAGGAGAGCAGAGGAAGCCACGGCGGGGTCACAGAGACTTTTGTCAGTGGCCAGTCTTCTAAGCTGGGAGGCCAGGTGCCATCTTCATGAGGCAGAACCAGAACTGGGACTGTTTTTCTGAAAAAACAAAACAAAAAACAGATCATTGCTTTAATCCATGAGCTGATCAGGGAATCTATGGGAATTGACTGACATGTCTGATTGCAAACTCTGTCCCTGACTTACCATATAACTTCCAGGGAAAAGGCAGGGCCACTACTCAGTCCCTGAGTGGTCCATCTGTCAAAAGGGTGCACGGACCCCATCTGCATAGTCGGGGACACACTCCCTGTAAGCTGCACACAGTAACCTGGGCAGGAAAGACAAAGGCCACCTCATTGCAGCTAGGTCTTCGTGGCCATGGTGCTGGCTCAGTTTGTGGACCTTGTGCCACTGGTTTCAAAATGAACCTTGTAGCATCTCAGCTGGCATGCTTGAGGTTGCCCTGCCTGTCTATTGGACCTTCTTTCCTCTGTCAGGGCAAAAGTCTTTTGTTCATTTGTTCATTCCTTCACTCATCTGACAAATACATACTACAAATCTACTGCACTCAAGGCTCCGTGCTGGCCGCCGTGCACATCTGTGGGCAAGGAAAGTCCCTGTCTTCGTGGTGTTTTCGTCCTAGTCGGGGAGACGGGCAGATGGATATGGGCCAGCTCATCCCACAAAGAACTTTTGCATAAGATGCTGACTATAGCAATAAGAGGAGGAACAGATTGCTAAGAGCACACGACAGGAAAGATGACTTGTCTGTGGGAATAGGTGAGGTGCCCTTGGATTTGCTGCTTAACCTCCCAGAGCCTTACCTGTGGAATGGGCATGCTGCCATTCGCTTCGTGGGGTTGCTGTGAGAAGTAAAATAATGGATGTGGTAAAATAATGGATGTGGAAAAGCACTTTGACAAGTGTTGGCTGCTCCCATAACTCTCATGTGTCCCTAGTACTTGGGCCCCAGGTCCATGTTCTGCCCTCTTTAGGATAAACTGGTTTAACAGTCCAACCTTGCCTGGACAAACAGGGAAAAACCCATTCCAAAAACAACCGGCCTTAAAACCATTTTCTTGGGAGGGAGGTGGAGAATCGATGCGCATCCAGATCCTTGAGCGCTGTCTCATTGCTAAATCCAGCGTCCTGCTGTGGCCTGGAAAGAGCCCACGTGGGAGATGAGTTCTGACCTTCCCTCCGTGTGTGCTGCATACCTACGACTGCTCTGCCCTCTGGCCACAGCTTCTCAGTGCTCTGTCTGCAAAGAAATATTTAAAAGACTCAGGAAATGAACTCACATTTTTTTTTCCCTCCCCCTCCTTTTCCAGAACGGCACAGCCTTCCTGGAAGAAAGCAAACAAAACAAGTGTGACTGTTTAAAAAATTATTGGAAAACCCATTCTGAACACTCTGGCTTTGAGTAGCCTTCCTGGGTGGACGCGTCACCTACTGCTCCCTCTCCCCCCGCACCCCACGGGTGCGTGTGTGGGGAGGGGACAGGGCAGCCGCCAGGCCTTGCCGGAGGAGCCAGCTGACTGGCTGAGCAGGCCTGCCCACCAGGCCCCCCTGAAACAGCCGTGTGCCCCTGAACCGAGAGAATCATCTGCCTGCCTCCAAAGTACAGATGTCTCCTGCCCCATGTGTGGGTGACTATCTGGGGTTTTTAGGTGTGCTTGTTTGATTTGCGGCATCCTTGGTGCTGTTATGAATAACCCCGTTGGCCGCGTGGAGGCTGAAGATGGAGCCTTTTCATTTCAGCCATCTGGTCGGAAGGCTTTTCCTTTGATGAGGGAGAAACCTTTGCCGTGTTTCAACTGGAACGCTGCCTCCCAATTAAGGTGACAGCAGATGCCCAGTGGCCCGTCTTTGCAGGAGCAGGAGGCTCAGCCAGGCTCCGGAGCTCGGGCCCTGGCCGGGAGGGAGAGGGCCTCTCGTACGGATTATGCTTTGGCCTCGGCCTCGGCCTCGGCCCGTGCTGCCTGCACCGACTTGAAGGGATGCGGGGACCCCGCCAGGAAAGCCGCCGTGGGGTGTTTACCGGCTTGGGGGTTGGCTCTCCGCTCAGGTTTTCCGTGTCAGGCGGTGACAGCGATGCTTACAGACACCCTCAGGAGACGTTCCTCTGCTTTCATAACAATGAAGGATTTTTTTTTCTGACTCATCTTCAGAAGATCCCCCCCAGCCCCCTCCCACCGCTCTTCGTTTGAAAATAAATATAATTAGTAGCAGGCAGCCGTCCTGTATACAGCCAGCCCTTTCTGCCCGGGAGAGTTCTAATTAAATGTGCATGCGGTCTGTGCACTGTCTGCTGGACGCCTCGCCACCCGCTTCAGGGATCAGCAGCCCTTGGGTGGGTGCTGCAGGACGGAGAGGCCTGTCGCGGGGGCTCGGAGTCCGGCGCCCAGTTCTAGGTGCGGGGACTCGATGTTGGCCGAGTGGCAATGTGCCCATTGTCGCCCTGCACGGCCCCTGCCTGGGCTCTTCTCCATGCTCAGCCTCAACCTGGGCGGGCCCCGGGGTGCGGTATGCCTGGTCAGTGCTGGGGCTGCCCCCGCCTCCGCCCTCACCCAGAGCAGAGCTGCCAGGTATGGTTGTCATGGCAACGTGGTGGCTGCAGCCGCTGGCGAGGGGCACCTGAGCGCCTGCAGGTTGAGCTTGCTCTCTGGCGGCTAGGAGCCAGGGCAGTGTTCCTTTGTTCCCAGCTCCCGGCCTGGGAGGCTGGCCCTGACGCTGCGGCCCCGCCCCACGTGGCATGCGCTCAGACAGGTTATCCCCAGGTAACCCTGGGCTCTCCTTCCTGACCAAAGGGCAGGCTGGGTGTTCGGTGGCCACTGGCCAGGCCCACGGAGAGCTCATATTCTGCTGAAATCAGTGGGTCAGGCAGGCCCAGGAATGCGCGCACACGCGCACACACACACACACACACAAACACACACACACACCCCTGTGGGCATCTTCTGGGACCGCAGCCCAGTCAACAGGCTTGGTAAGATAGGCTTGGTGACCCGGGAGCGACTGTGCGCCTCCTGCCTCCTGTCCCTTGGGCGGGCAAGGCGGTGACCGGATGACTAGCTGGCACAGCCCTCCTTGGCCTGGATCGGGTGCAGCAGGCGTCATCGGAGCCACAGGCACCTTTACCCAAGTTGCTCAAAGTGTTTTCCGAGCAAACAGTTGTTTCATAACACCCGTGAGAAGTAGGTGGGGTGACAAAGCATTCTTTGTCCCTGTCTTACAGATGGGGAAATTGAAAAGCTCGCCTGGCCAGGTGGTGAGGCCAAGAAAGGAAGAAGGGAGCTCTCCTGCCAGGGACTCTGGGGTGCAGAGGGCCAGGACTTCTGCCTGGTTCTCTGGCCAGTGCATGCCCTGTTGCTAACTCCTGGGGGGTCCTGGGCTAGGTGGGGAGGCCCATCGGAGAAGGAGGCCAGAGATGGAGGAAGCTCAGGCTTCTCCCTCAGCACCGAGGAGCATCCGGGAACTGTTATTGCCCTGTGGTCTGAGGTGTTGACATTGGCCCTTGGCAACCTGGGAGGTGTCAGTTGTCTGGAAGTCACTGGACTCTCAGAGGTGGTCAGCAGATAGCTTTTGAGTATCCTGTGCTGGCCCAGGACCTGTTCCGGGTGCCGGGGATACAGTGGTGAGTGAAGCACACAGGCTCCTGGCCTATGCAACTTGCAGGAGGTAGATAACCAACACAGAACATTAAGAAGAAATAATTTTGGAGGGTGCCTGGCGCCATGAGGAGAGTACAAACAGACAGTATGACAGAGACTGGCTGGAGGGGAGCATGGGGAAGAGGGACGACTATGGAGAGGCAACAGGGCAGGAGTCTATGAGGGCTAACCCAGCATGAGGAGGAGCCAGACTTGGATGAGCATTCTAGAGGGAGGGGACAGCTGTGTATGGCCACCGGAGAGGGTGATAAGGGTGGCTCGTCCCAAGGTCAAGGACAAAGACGCTGCTCCTGAATGGTGGTGAGAGAGGGGACGTGGGGACCTGGTCATGGGCCAAGGGGCTGGGTGTGATTCTGGATGCAAGGGGAAGCAGTAGGGGAGTCAGGGCCTCTTGGAGAGGTAGCATGGACAGCCTCTTCTGAGAGACTCAATGGGGGGCACCAAGGAAGGATGACTTCTGGGCCTTTGCTGGAGCTGGAAGGCAGAGCTGTGGGTTCAGGTGAAGAGACCGAGGAAGAACACATGGAGGGGCGACTCCAAGAGGCTGGTGTTGTTCAGGGTGGGGGTGCAGTTTGAGACGCCTGCTTCTGGGCAGCTACATGTGAGGCTTTGGCCTCAGTGTTTCTTAAGGTGTCCCTCTCTAACAGTGGAGAAAAAGGGTGGTGGGTTCCATCAAAGGATGGTGGATTCTGTCGCAGCATGTCCTGAATTCACCTGAGGCCCTGGGTGCTCAAACCTTTTTCCAGGAGGATCAGATTCCTGTCTTCTGAGCTGGAGCAGATCTCCATCATGGTTGGTTTGTGACATGAAGAGGAGACCAGCTAGGGTCGGTGTCCCATCGTCCCCTTACTCGTGGGGGGTACATTCAGGGGACGCCTGAAACTTCGGATGGTACTGAACCCTATAGATCCACCATTTCCCCCCTGTACATATGTATGATAAAGTTTAATCTATAAATTAGGCACCATAAGAGATGGAAAACAACAACTAATAATAAAATAGAACACTTGTAACAATGTATTGTCCTGAAAGTTCAGCAAATGTGGTCTCTCACAAGATATTGTACTGTTCTCAGCCTTCGAGGACATGAGATGATAAAATGCCTACATGGTGAGATGAAGTGAGGTGAGTGATGTGGCCATTGGGACCTGGCATTAGGCTACCCTTGACCCTCTGGCTATGCAAATCAGGAGGATCATGTGCTTCCTAGCCTCAGTTGACCTCAGGTCAGAGAGCAGAACCCGGATACGGGGCAAATGTCTGCATGTGATGTGGTGAACAGCCTTCTCCAGATCCCACATGCCTGTCCCTTTCCATCCAGCTCCCTGCCTTCCACAGCCAAGTCCTTGGCCACTTATCCTTGCGTGCCATAATTAGGCTGATCGTATTACCTGTGGGTGAGGAAGACCTAAGTCTTGCCTGTCTTTGGCTGATACAAGGGAAGGATAAAAACTTAGCAATTTCTCATAAGAAGGGACATTTGATGAGGGTGGTCCATGTGGTCCCTGACCAGTGCGGCGTCCACTAAGCAGGAGGGCTAGGACTCTTTGTGGCCACTAACTTGGCATGTAGCTTTGAAGAACACGTTCATACATGCCCCATAGTATAAATTGAAAGCTGCGAAAAGGATTGCATCAGGGAAAAAAGCCATCCTCTTGGATTTGCCTCCCATGTATATCTCACTGCAGGGTCAACTCAGAGCCATTAGTGCAATGGAAATTCCAATTCTGGGTCTACAAGGAATTATTATTCCTTGTTATTATTTTAATTAATTATTATTTTTTTAGAAAGTAGGTTCCATGCCCAGTGTGGCACCCAATGCAGGGGCTTGAACTCAGGACCTTAAGATCCAGACCTGAGCTGAGATCGAGTCCTACACTTAAGTGACAGAGACCCCCAGAACACTCAGCTCTGTGCCCAATGTGGGGCCCGAAGTCATGACCTGAGATCAAGAGTCACATGCTCCCCGGACTGAACTGGCTGGGAGCCCCTCCACAGCATCATTTTGGGGCTAAGCACATGTTAGGATATTTACATCTATGGGAATTTCCTGGTATCTTGTTATAAAGCTTTACAGGTTTACATCTTGGGCTTTACAAGGAAGTTTCTGATGTATGGAGAACATTGTATTGTAAGGTTGTCTTTCCGTGTTAGGAATAGATCCAGGGATGCCAGTTCTCATACCAGAGGAGCGCCTTGGGCGAACACTCAGAAACTCACTCGTTCTGATCAGCTTTTCGGTGGACAGAACCCCTATCGCTGGTGTGTGCTTTAAAGCTCCCCAAGTGCTGTCATGGTCATTTTCTCATTCTCCATGACTCACAACGTTGTGGCATGTCGTCAGTGCAGCTGCAGCAACTAAGAGAAGTTAAGGCCGTTGTCCAAAGTCACACAGCAAAGGGAGAGCTGAGAATTAATGCCAGTCCTGCAACCTCTCCCACTTTCCCAAGTCCCTGTTGTTGCACCTTGGGTGGCAGGGGGCCAGGGTGGTTCTGGGCACCTGGACCGATGTCCCTGTGAGTGTGGCAAGCCTCGCCTGGGCGGTGCTTGAAATTCCCTGAGCTGGCTCTTGGGAACTAGTTCTGCTCACAGAGGGCCGTGTTGCAACGTGACCAATGGATGAGAAGGTTGAGACAGACAGCCATTACTTCACCAACGTGAATCAAGGTCACTTGTCACCTCAGGAAGCACACGGGGCTGCCACATTCAGCAGGAAGGCCCGCTGCCCCTGAGCCAAGCCCGCCATGTGGCCTGGCACCTTTCTCCCGTGGCAGGGAGAAGGGGAGCTTCTGGGAGTGAGGATGTGCAAGGCAGCCAGACCCAGGGGCTGCTGGCCCTCCCATCACACTGCCCGTCACAGAATCTAATAGGCCTCAGCCAGTGATGGGAGTCAGCCAGCTCCTGCCAATGCCTCCGGTGTCCTGGGACCCTTACCCCACTTGTGGGCACAACCCCCACATGGTATTTGGTTCCTTTCTCAAAAGAGGGGTGTCACATATGACCCTCTGTTGTCACCCAAGGAAATTGGGCCGACTGTGAGCTATCGGAGTGTCCCCACGGTGTCTTTCTTCATAGTTTAGCAGGTGGTACTTGCTTTCTTTTTATGAGAGAGTACAGATCTTGTCCACTTTCACTGCTGCCCATGTAAGTGCCAGCGAGAGGAGGAAGCTCACAGGAGGGCAGGGAGGAGGGGACCAGGCCCGGGGGTTGAGGCCTGGGTGGTGTTGCCTGTGCATGCCTGTGTTGGATGAGCTAGGACAGTACCTTTTCCCACTGGGCCTTCCAGCTCATGCTGGTACCATTGGCCTCGTCACGGCTTCCTTCTGGGCTTCCTTCCTCAGGGGAACAGCACTGAAATGTCCTTTGTAGTTCATTATTCAGGCCTTAGGTGCTGGCCTCAGCTCCAGTGTCCCTCCCAGAGAGAGCCCTTCCTGAGGAAC